CCCCTGACTTACGTATCAATCTTTTGATCCAAAGGCTCCGGTCAGGGTTCCCAAAGAAAAAACCGTTAATCAGTGTGGGCTACCGCGACAAAGGTTTCTGGGGAAATAAGTTATCTCAAAAGGTATAAGACCTGCCCATCGGCGTTTAAGGATGGAGGCTCACCGTTAGTCTTGGAGTCAACAAAACTCTTGGGCTCAATATAGAAAAGGGAACAGGTTCCAAATGAATAGTGTGAATCGATCATCGTACGGATTTACAAAAAAGGTGACAGTTCCTCTTGTGAAAACCACGGCGCAATTAGTTTACTCAACATTACCTCTAAACTGCTCGCTGGGATCATACTCCGTCGATTGTCTGCCACACATGAAGAGTGCACGCGTGAGAACCAGACTAGTTTTATACCTGGTACACGTTGTATCGGCCACGTCTTCACTTTTCGCCAAACTCTTGAGCACCAAAAATCTTTTCGTAGACCCAAAATCTCTGTCTTCCTGGATCTGAAAGCGGCTTTCGACTCAGTCGACCACTCTAAATTCTGGTGCTGCCTTTCCCTGAAAGGTGTGCCCGAGAAGTTAATTTCAATATTACGATCGCTTTATACTCAGCCGAAATCGAGTCCAGGCTTACGGCACTTTTTCGCCCAAGTTCGCCATGGAAAGTGGTGTTCTTCAGGGTTGCCCTCTCTCCTTTCCTATTAGATTGCATTGCATTGTGTTGTGTATAACTTTTGCAATTTTTACTTTGTCATAGATTTGATTTTGGAAACAGCCCTGTCCTCATGCTAGGGTAATAGCATTGATTTGCACCCAGCTGGCAAACTGTCTGATCTGGAGTGTGCAGACGACTGCTAAGTGAGGATCCAGTTCAGTTGCATGGGTTTCTGGATAGTGTGAGTGTACCTATTTTTGCATGCTTTTTTACACCTTCAGAGTGTAAAATGTTGCTACAGGGCTGGTGGCCTCCAGCTCCCAACCTCATTCCAACTGGGGAAGTAATAGAGACTGAACCAATTTTACCATTTGGACAGCTACATCTCACCAGGTAGACGCAGCACGGGCGAAGTGTCAGCTCGCATACTGAGGGTTCGGTTGGCATTTGCCAACTGGAGATATTTGTGTCGCTCTCGCGACATCCGGCTGTCTGTGAATGGTCGAATGTATGCTGCTGCAGTTCGGTTAGTTCTGCTATATGGAGCAGAAACTTGGCCATTAAGAAAACAGGATAAAGATAGACTGTCGGTGTCTGAGCACCGCTGTCTACGCAGCATTGCACGAATCTGATGGGGCACTCGGACGAGCAATGCTGAGGTCAGGTGCAAAGTTTTAGGCAACCGCGGTCGCCCACTGGAGCAAGTGGTCGACCTCCATAGATTACGTTGGTTGGAGCATGTGTTACGCATGTCACCAAATCGGCTGTCACGGTGAGCGATGTTTGCCGAGGCAAGTAGTGGGTGGAATAAAGCCCACGGTGGTCAAGCTAAGACCTGGCATGAGGGTATGAAAACCCTAACCAGGAGTCTGG